GAGTGGAGGGAAGGTGTGAAAAAATTAGGAAAGATCCAATGGGGATCTGAAAAAACTGAGGTAACAGTGGGCATAGATCAATGGTAATTAATTTTATAAGACACAATGTACACAGTGAGTGAAAAAATTATTTATTTTGTTTGTTTTATAGTGATATTGCTTGTTGTTTGTTGGCCATTAAACCATGACAGTGAGAGAACAACTGATACAACACAGTCACACAGCTCTGTGGTAGGGTCATGCTTGGAACCCAAGTCTTTAACATCAAGTTCCTGTATTTTAACCACGGGGCTCTAATGAGGTGGATTGACACAGAGACTGTGGTAATGGGAGCAGATGTGTCAGAGACTATGAGATTGGCTCAGGATAGGTCAGGGTTCAGATCTGTTGTTCATAGGGTCGTTATGAGTCATAGTCTACTTGATGGCACACAACAACAACACCTTTTATTAATGGATGAAGTTCTGCATCTTCAACAGTTTCTCTATGAAAGTCTCCTGTGTTCAGATCCAGGTCTTATTTTAAAAATTCTGTACTTTTACACAATAATATGTCTGAGAAGGACACAGGTCAAATTCAGACCAGAGACACAGGAGGGGGGTCTCCACATCAGGAATGGCAGCCGGCTGTGGTTTCTGCCTCTAACTGGGTGGGATCTTTGTATTGCAGCTCTGGAGCCAGAAACAGTTAATCATTTTAAAGGAACTAGTGACTGTGTAGTTTACTGTCAACTGTAACTCAATAAAACTGTTTATCAGTTAAAAAAAATTTCTGTACTTTATATTGTCTTTGATTTCCAGCAGAATGTTTTAAGTTCCACTCTTTTAAAATGCAACACATCACGTGTTTTGTGGTTTTTTTTTGTTATTTGGTTCTTTTACCATTGAGTCAGAATCAACTCATAGCTGACCCTACAGGAGGTTTTCAGAGGCAGTAAATCATATGGGAGGAGATTGTCCATCATTCTCCTGTGGAGCAGCTGGTGGATTCAAACCACATGCCTTTGGGATTATAAACGCAGCTTCTTATCACTAGGCTTACAGAAGTCCAGAGGAAATCAGTTTTCTATTTCTCTCCATCCTATCACAAATTTGCTTACTTCCAAAGTTGAAGGAACATTTTAACTCTTGTTTACCATTGCTGTGACTAAATGATCATGAAATCTCAACCATCTGAACTAGTTTTTCCTTTATCTATTGAGAATGCTGTCAAAGCATGTTCCAAGGGTGGACTAATGACAAGAAGCTGCACTGCAATCCTGAAGGCACAAAATTTGAGGCTACCAGCTGCTCCACGGGAGGAGGATAGGCAATCTCCTCTCACGCAATTAACTGCCTCTGAAAACCACCAGAGGGTCAGCTATGGGTCTGTTTCAACTCAACGGTACACAACAACAACAACAACAAGGCCCCACATAGAAACTTTACTCATTACATGACCACATTAAGGGAGCTATTGACAATAATATTCTTTTCTTAATATCTAGAATGTTCATTCAGTTTTTAAATGTAGATTGCAATTTTCTCATGAAATTATCCATTTCCTCTATTTTTTCTCTGCTTCTGGTGACTTAATGACAAGAAGCTGTGTTGCAATCCCAAAGGCACTCAGTTTGAGGCTACAAGTTGCTCTGCAAGAGAAGTATGGGCAATCTCCTCCCATGCATTTAACTGCCTCTGAAAACCCTCCAGAGGATCAGCTATGGGTTGGTTCTGACTTGACAGTACACGACAAAAACAGCAGCAACAACAACATCATCTGTAAAGTTGTGCTGCTAAGTCAAAGATGACACATTTCTGGTGGTTCTCCAAGGAGAAAGCTAGGCAATCTTCTCCTCTGTGTTTCACAGCCTTTCGAAAACCTCCTGGAGTGGCGGCTATGAGTTGGTTCTAGTTCGACAGCAATGAGTTATATATTCCCCACATCCCCATTATTTAATCATAGGTATGTGAAAATCCTTGAGTGTTAATTCCATTACTTCAATCATCTATCCTCTGTTTCTATTGCCATTTTCCTGCCTTGATTATCAGCCATATGATCATTTGTCTTCATGTCTTATAATTTGTAATCATGTGCCAGACACAGAGTATAAAAGGATTACAAAGGCTCTACATTATGTTTCCTTCCTCCAGGAGACTTCACTTTTCCTTTTTTAGGACTTGAAAGATGCCAGGAGTTTAAGTTCAGCTTCACAGATGTTCAGTTAGTAGTCTCTTGTCCATGGAGCTTCCAAGTTGACAATATCTAATTAGGAAGACTGTGTCACGGCAATAGGTTCCTACTCTTCATGGGCCTCTTTTGTTCCTAAGCACAAAGAAATTTTGCTTTTATTTTATCTTTTATCATGTAAGTGATCTATTTATAGAAATCTAGTGGGCTAGTGGATAAGGAGTTGAGCTGTCAACACAAAGGCTGGCAGTTCAAATCCACCAGCCACTCCGAGGGAGAAAGATAAGCAATCTCCTTCTTTGCAATTTACAGTCTCTGAAAACCTGCTGGAGGGTCAGCTATGAGCCAGTTCTGACTCGATGGCAATGAGTGAGTGATCTATTTATTTATCTCTCTAGTCTATCTTTTGAAGATTTTGGCCTAGATTTCCAACCTCCTTTGGTTGCTTACTGGTAAGAAGCAGGGCTGCAATTTCAAAGGCATGTGATTCGAATCCACCAGCTGCTCCATGGAGGAAGGATGTGCAATCTCCTCCCTTGAGATTAACGGCCTTTGAAAGCCCACTGGCTACAGGTCAGTTCTGATACTGTCAGCTGATAGTACTTAACAACATGTGCAGACTTAGAATTCAGCAAGTATCTGTTGAACATTTGCCCATGTATTTGAGGTTTCTTAAAGTTTTTAATTTGACATTTCTGCCTCACTTGACTGTGTTACTGGCTTCTTTCTCTTCTAGCATAGGCCTTTGTCTTCATTGTACCTGATCCTCAGCTCACACTAAAGACTGACAATTTTTTTTCTGGTGTAGGAGGTGGACTGGGGAGCTGGCTCTCATCAGCTCAATTGAGGACAATAGTTCTTCTCTGCAGTTTTAGTGCACATCTTTCTTGGGAAATCCACAGCTTTTTGAATTATGATTGCTAAATATTTGTAGGACTTTGAAAATATGATTGCTAAACATTTATAGGATTTTTCAAGTACTCTCAAGGCTATCTAGAAAAAAAACTTCAAATAGCTACCTTAAATGGGCTAATCATACAAGTTAGAAAACAAAACCGCTGTTTATTTTCAAAAAGAAGAAAAAGAAAAGATCTAGAGTTTGGAATTTATGTGTCATGTAAGTAAGATGGTTATCAATGAAACTAGTTATTATAGGGTTTTTTAAAGTAAGGATTTGTCATTAAAATAACTATCTTTTATATTATACTCAGAAAATAATAGGCCGTTATTACAAATTATTTACTACAACAAAGAAAATACAATTTAGGGAATACAATATATTTCTAAATTTTCATTTTTGTAAAAACATACTTGCTGTTCTATCACTTAATTAGAATAATACAGAAACAAATTTTCACACATATGTCAAACACATATATTTAAGAAGAAAGCATTTTAATAAACTACACGTTGAATTAATCATTTTTTATTCTGCTTTTACTCTGTTTGATAATCCCTTTTCGATACCTGCTATTTTACCTGCTGTTGTTATATGCCACTGAGTCCATTCTAATAGAAAACAACTCCATAGGACAGAGTAGAACTGCCCCATAGGACTTCAACAGTTGTATTTATGGGAGCAGATCACTATTTAATCCTGCAGAGAAGTTATTGAGTTAAAACCCTGCAATGTTTTGACTATTTTAATTTTTAACCTGACTTGTGTTTTCATTTAGAATACACATATTTTTTAAAAAATCCTCTTCTCTTGTACCCCCAATATGTTTTTCCCAATAAAAGAAAAAAAATCCTCTTCTGTCAGTGTAGAAATAATTAGGGACAATCAAAGACTTCAGTAGTAAACTTTTCATTTGGAAATTTTGACTACAATTTTTGCCTTGACAACTGGTCACTTGGAATCTACATGGAATGAAGAAACCAGAATTTTAGTCTAGTTGAATATTTTGAATACAAAAAGTACTTTAGCTTTCAATAATTCAATGGAAAAATTAATTTGGTTCTTGTAGAATAAAAATCCAAGTTTTGTGTAAAAGGAAAACAATACTTAATGCGATTACTTAGTAGCATAATATTTGAAGGAAAACAATACTTAATGTGATTACTTAGTAGCATAATATTTGTTAATTCTGGATTATTTTTCAACTTTTGAATGTAAATTAAAGACAAGTACATGTGTGCAGAAATTACAGACAAGGAAACGTACAATTTAATGAACTTTCCACAAGCTCCACACCTTATATAAGCAGCATCTGGACAAAGCCACAGAATGTGACCAGAACTCTTGAAGCCCACTCCTCATTTCCTCTTTCAGTTAACATACCACAGTAACACAGATTTGTTTTGCCTGGCTTTGAATTTATATGTAAATGGGTTCATCCAATATGGACTATTTTGTGTCTGACTTCTTTCATCTAACATTGTGTTTGTGATAAGGCATTTATAGCATTGTTTGCACTTAATAGTTTGCTTAGTTTTTTTTATTGTATGTTTTTGTTGTGTACCGCTGAGTCAGAACTGACTCATAGCAGACCCTCCAGCAGATTTTCAGAGACAGTTAATCGCTTGGGAGGAGATTTCCCATCCTTCTCCTGTGGAGCAGCTGTCACCCCAAACTGTATGCCTTCAGGATTGCAGCAGAGCTTATTGCTACTAGGCAACCAGAGCCCAATAAAACATATACTTCAATTTATTTTTAGCTCCACAAGAACAATGGTTTCTCTATTTCAGTCACTGACACATCCCAGCACTTAGAACAATGTCCAGTACATAGTAGGTGCTGCACAAGAAGTTTTAATTTAAGTTAAAGGCAGCTTTTAGCTATGGAGAAGTTTTCCAGAGCACAAATTCCTGTAGTGTTTGAAAACTCTGTATTAACTTTCTCTTGAGTCTATGGTTCTCTCCACTAATCTCTTTAATGCCCCTTTGACTTCCTTGTTCCTAAGAGTGTAAATCAAGGGATTCAACAGGGGAGTCACCAAAGTATAGAACAGTGCAATGCTTTTGTTCAAATCTTGTGAGTAACTGGAGGGAGACTGGAGGTACATGGAGATGAGGGTCCCGAAGAAAATGATCACGACCAGGAGGTGAGAGCCACAGGTTCCAAAGGCTTTCCGTCTCCCCTGTGCTGACTTTATCTTCAGGACTGCACGGGTGATGTGACCATAGGACACTAGGATGAGTGACAGAGGTACCACCAAGAAGAAGACGCTGACAGCAAAGAGTTCAGCCTCATTGATGAAGGTATTGGCACAGGCCAGTTTCAGCATCACTGGAACTTCACAGAAGAAATGATCCACTTGGTTTTTACCACAGAAAGGGAGAGTCATGGTCAATGCTGTCTGCACCACAGAATTGCCAAAGCCAATAAGCCAAGCAATTATAACCAACTGCAAGCAAAGCTGGGGGTGCATGATGACCATGTAATGGAGAGGGCGGCAGACAGCTGCATAGCGGTCATAGGCCATGACGGCCAGGAGGATGCATTCCACTCCTCCAAGGCCCAGGGCGATGAAGAGCTGGGTCACACAGCCTCCATAGGTGATGGTCTTGTCCTTCTCTTTGAAATTAACCAGTGTCTGAGGGACAGTACAAGTAGTTAAACAAAGATCCATAAAAGACAAGTTGGAGAGGAAGAAATACATAGGGGTGTGGAGACGAGGTTCCAAAATTGACAAAAGTATGATGGTGCCATTGCCTAGGAAGCTCAAAAAGTAGATGATCAGAATTACCACAAAGAGAACAGTTTCCACATGAGGTCTGCTAGAGAAGCCCAAGAGAATGAATCCAGAGGAGGTGGTGGCATTAGCTCTTTCCATTGTGCTTTACCTGTTGGAGACAAATGGCCTCAATGCTTGTATCATGCATGTTTAATCCACTCCCATCTTCCTTCAGTCTCCTCCTAGTTTTCCAGAAAGGAAGTAATGAATACTATAGGAATGTCTTCTGTCAAAACAATCATATGAGATTAGTATTTTGTATCAGAGTGATTCTCATGGACGTTTCGATTTTCTTCTGCCTCAATTTGAACTGGCCCATGAAAAATTGATGGCCTATTCCACAATGCCCCCTGGCCTAGTTTTGGCTGCTGATATTAAGCTTCTCCAATGATTTCCACAGATGTAATCAATCTCATTCTTATGTAGTCCATCAGAGAAGGTCCCTATGTAAAGTTGCTGTCTGTGAGTTTTCTTTAAAAAAAAGATATTTGCAATGAATAAATCATTGAACATACAAAATTCTACTATTCTACTTCCAGCCTCATTTCCATCTCCAGGTCCATACTTGTAACATGAACAACATGTTGTTCTAAGAATAATGGCATCAGAGAGATTGGAGAATTGAGGATTAAGAAGATTCAAGAGCTTTCTCACAGTAACTCATGTAATAAATGGCAGAGACAGGATTAAAAAAAACACTAAGAACATTATATTTTATATTTGTATGAACTTTAATGATAAATTCTGTTTCTCCCTAAATTAGTATTCTTTTTCTAAATGAGTTGAAAATCTATTTATTTCTGATGTCTTAACTTTAGTGCTATATCATGTACTGAAATATTCCAAGCTGGTTTTTCTATTTCTGTTTTAGGTAGATAATATATGTATATGTGTTTGTGTCTATATTTATTTTTTCTGATTTTAAAGGGAAAAACTACTATCTACCAGTTTCATTCAAAGAGGAGAAATGCATTTTAATACATAGAGTGATAGATATTTTGGACATGAGGATCTGTAATTATATTTCTGGACACTTTCGTTAGTCAAATCCTATATTACAGAAAGATCAGTCCTAAATTATCATTATCAATACTATTTTCAGCAAACACACAAGGAACCACCAACCTAATAATTTAATTTTACTCTTCTCTTCACAGCTCTTTATACTTTCTTCAGTTATTTTTCAGTTTTTCTCTCTGTGTGTTCTAAAATACCAATCTCTCATAAACCATTCCCTTTTTAATTGAAATAAGTATGTGTGCTTATTGAAGTAAACCCTCACCTTGATCTTGTTTTGTGTTGTGTTTTTTTAAATCTCTTTCAAATGTAGTATGTTGCAGTTTTAACAGTAAATATTCCTTAAACAAGTCAACATGAAGCTCACCAAGGTCAGAACTTCAACCTTCTTGGTCTCTGTAATACTCTATAGTCTATCAAACAAAACTGGTATATAATAGTATCACAAAAAGTGCTTGAATAAATAAGGATTAGGCTGAAATACTGTCATTTGCTATTGAGATTAAGTTTAAGAGGTTATAGAAATCTACAAATGTACAAGAGAAAAAGAAAGCAGAACAAATCTTGAATAATCTTTAGTCGTTACATTATCTCTCAAATAAGGGAAACTTTCACTGCCTGTCTAAAATACTACTCTTCAGGAAGTGAAATTTAATTCCAACATCTTTTAAAAGTTTTCTTTCTTACATTCAAAGAGGTGAGCCTGTCCTACACTAACGAAAGGCACATGGTCATAAGAAGTTATGACCATTAAAATTTTAAGTTATCATTATTCAGTGCTGTGTTGCATGGAGGGAACACTGGCAAAATATATAGTTTGTTGTGTGTGCTGTTAAAGAAAACGTCAGTGGCTTGAATCCAGCAGCTGCTCCATGGAGGAAAGGTGGGCAGTCTCCTGTTAAGATTTAGAGCCTTGGAAATGTGATGGAGAGTCAGCATAAGCAGAAGCAATTTGATGGCAGTGGATGATTGGGATGTTGCATGAGAAACTATTAAATATTTTTAAATATCACTTTTCTGTTAGCAGAATCTATGACTTAGGAAAAGATATTTTTCTATTCTGTCTTTTCTATTGGTATCTTGAACCAAGATACCAATAGAAAAGACAGATACCAATAGAAAAGACAGAATAGAAAAATATCTTTTTGGTATCTTGAACCAAGATACCAATACAAAAGACAGATACCAATAGAAAAGACAGAAAAGTGATATTTAAAAACGTTTAATAGTTTCTCATGCAACATCCCAATCATCCACTGCCATCAAATTGCTTCTGCTTATGCTGACTCTCCATCATATTTCCAAGGCTCTAAATCTTAACAGGAGACTGCCCACCTTTCCTCCATGGAGCAGCTGCTGGATTCAAGCCACTGACGTTTTCTTTAACAGCACACACAACAAACTATATATTTTGAAGATTCCAAAAGGCTGCTCGGAATGACAAAGCAAAATACTACAATGAAATTTGCGAGGAGCTAGAGTCAGAAAATCAAAAGGGCCGGACTCGCTCAGCATTTCTTAAGCTCAAGGAACTGAAGAACAGACTCAAACCTAGACTTGCTGTAATCAAGGATGCTTTGGGCAGAATATTAAATGATCCAGGAAGTATTAAAAGAAGATGGAAGGAATATACTGAGTCATTATATAGAAAGGAATTGGCAGATACAGAGGAATTTAAAGAAATAACATATGAGCAAGAGCCTATGGTGATGAAGGCAGAAGTTCAAGCTGCTTTGAAGGAAATAGCAAAAAATAAGGCCCCAGGAATAGATGGTATACCAACTGAAGTATTTCAGATAACAGATGTTGCCCTGGATGTGCTCACCAAGTTGTGCCAAGAAATCTGGAGAACAACCACTTGGCCAACTGACTGGAAGAGATCTATATTTGTTCCCATTCCAAAGAAAGGTGACCCAACTGAGTGTGGAAACTACAGAACAGTGTCATTGATTTCACATGCAAGCAAGATTGTGCTGAAGATCATCCAAAAATGATTAGAACAGCACATCAGCAGAGAACTGCCAGAAGTCCAGGCTGGGTTTAGAAGGGGTCGTGGTACTAGGGATATTGTTGCTGATGTTAGGTGGATCTTGGCTGAAAGCAGAGAATACCAGAAGAATGTCTATCTGTGTTTCATTGATTATGCAAAGGCATTTGACTGTGTGGATCATAACAAACTGTGGCTGACTCTGAGAAGAATGGGAATCCCAGAACATTTAATTGTGCTAATACGAAACCTATACTTGGACCAAGAGGCAGTAGTCAGAACAGAGCAGGGTAACACTGCATGGTTCAAAATTGGGAAGGGTGTACGCCAGGGATGCATCCTGTCTCCATACCTTTTCAACATGTATGCAGAGCAGATTATCCGAGAGGCTGGGCTCTATGAGGAGAATTGCGGCATCGGGATTGGTGGAAGGTCTATTAACAATCTCCGTTATGGAGATGACACAACCCTGCTTGCTGAAACTGAGGAGGACCTCATGCACTTGCTGCGAAGGGTCAAGGACTGCAGTCTTCAGTATGGACTGAGGCTCAATGTCAAGAAGACAAAGATTCTCACCACTGGACCAATTGGCAGCGTCAGGATGGATGACGAAGAGATTGAGATTGTTCACAGCTTCAGTTTGCTCGGCTCCACAGTCAACACTCTTGGCACCAGCAGTCAGGAAATCAAAAAGCGTATCGCGATGGGAAAGTCTGCTGTTAGGGACCTCTCTAAAGTACTCAGGAGCAACAGTGTCTCTCTGGAAACTAAGGTGCGCCTGATACAGGCCATGGTATTTGCAATTGCTTGTTATGCATCAGAGAGTTGGACAATGACTAGGGAGGACAGAAGGAGAGTGGATGCTTTTGAGCTGTGGTGCTGGAGAAGGGTACTGAATGTACCCTGGACTGCCAGGAAAACAGATTTATCTTGGAGAGGATTAAACCAAGCTACTCCTTGGAGGCAAGGATTCTGGGGCTTCGTCTGACATACTTTGGACATGTTGCCAGGAGGGACGGGTCCTTGGAGAGGGACATCATGCTTGGGAGGGTTGAGGGACAACGCAGGAGGGGAAGACCCTCTATGAGATGGATTGATTCGGTGACTGGTGTAATCGGGATGGGTGTGTCAGAGGCAGTGTGGTTGGCGCAGGATAGAGCAGGGTTTAGGGCTGTTGTGCATAGGGTCGTTATGAGTCGGAAACGACTCGACGGCACATAACAACAACAACAACAACAACAACTTTTCTATTGGATTCTAGATGTATGTGTCTAGTTATTTTATTTCTGAAGTGTGTCAGTGATTGCTTTTGTGATAATTGTTATTGTGGTTCCAAAGGTTAAAATGTATTTGTAATAATATGTAATAAAATGCCTTAAGACAGGAATAAGGAATTTGGATTCTAACTATAAATTTTCCATTCATAAGCATTTAAATCTTAAACTCTGTGCTCCCCTTCCCCTACTTCTGGGCTAGTTTATTCTTCTACATAAAAATATGTCATTAACCTTTTTGTTCATTACAGAACCTTGCAGGTTTAAATTTGAATAAAATATTGTTGCTGTTGTTCTTATGTGCCATTGTATTGCCTGCAACTCATTGGGATCCTATGTAGAGCACCTCTGAAGCCTGCCTTGTCCTGAGCCACTCTCACTGATTCTGACACACCTACCCCCATTGCCCCAGTTACTGTATCAACCCTTTTCATTTGGGTTCCTCCTCTCCTGTGCTGTCCTTCCACCTATATAATCATCACCTTTTAATGATAGTATTTTAACAGAAATAGAATATTCTAGCACATTCTTTGTGATAGCATGATTCTTCATTTCTATGCTTTCTATATTTTTTGGCCTTGTTTCATGACAGCCAGAATTAGAAAATGGCATTTACCTCCAAACTCTATAAAAATTGTTGGTGCATACCTTTGCTTCTCTCTATCTGTGCATTTTTAGAGTTGCATAGCAAGAGTTCCTCCAGCTTGCCATGGTGCCATGTGGTTGTGTGTAGTGATGCATGGAGATGATAAGAACCAAGAAAGAATATATTTACATAAGAGATATGTAAAATCCATTACAACCACAAAAGTAGAATTGAA